CTGAGCACAGCGTTTTCTTTATGCCCCCTGACAGAGCTGGGGATTGAGCCCAAACAAAAAAAAAACACGAGGGTGAAAAAATGTTTTTACACCCACCACGCTCCCTCGCAGGCCTGGCTGTGTGGGCTCACCGAACCCTTTTAGCTTTCGATCAATGGGGCAAGTTACTGGAGTCTGGCCAACTCTGACAGATAGCACAGAAAGAAAAAAGCATGCCTCTTCAAAAATTTTGGTTTTTTGTCACCGTGTTTTGTACCTCCACCCATCCTCACTTCAAAAAAAAAAAAAAAAAAGAAGAAGAAAAATGCAAGGTGAAATGAGGGAATGCTTCTTTTATTTTCCCTTAGAGATTAGAGTTTTCTGTGCGGAGGGTGAGAAGGCGAGGCTGTGGGTGGAGGAACAAGAGGAAGAGGTGGGCAGAGGGAAGGCTGCTTTGCGTCATCCGCAGCAGATGAACCTCTTGTCGGACGTGGGTTCCTGACATGGAAGCTGGACAAAGCAGCAGCTCGTCCCACAGCTAATGATGGGTGTTATAATTTAACAAAAGTCTGGTGATTATGGGTCTGCTGATGAACCAGGAGCCATGGGATACGCAGCAGTCTCTGGGGACGGGTTCACAACGAGAGCGCAGTGCCCCCCATTGGAGTAGAAAACGCATTGCTCTTTTCTACTCAGACTTCAGAGTGCTGCTGATAATTTAGTACACTATGTGGGTGATATTGGAAATTACTGAACTGCACAAAATTAAACTAGTAGTACATTTGGCACTTTTATTATATTCATATGCAATCATTTCCATAAGTATTTGGACAGTTACACAACCACAGTGCATTTTGAACCAATTTATTGATTTAAAATCAAGAATGAAGTGCAGAATTTGAACTTTAATGAAAAAGGGTTCAACCTGATGTTTTTGTACACAGTCCTCCATTTTCAGAGGCTTAAAAGGGATTGGACAGATGACCAATAAACAGTTTAATGGCTGGTTCCCTGATTGTTCCCTGACAAAATAAGTAGATAAAAGACCTGAAGTTGATTCATGTGTTAAACTTGTATTTGATAGCTGTGTTTTGAAATTCTCAATATGACATCCAAAGTGATGTCAGTGCAAGCGAACAAGGCCAAGGTTAGGCTGCAAAAACCTTTAACAGTGGCCAAATTAATAATCGGGTTCATTCTTAAAAAGAAGGAATGCATTTGTCAGCTTAGCGACACCACAGATGACAACTAAAGTTTTCATGGTTAAGAAAATCAGCTTCAAAATATCTAAACTAGTCAAGAAAATTCTCGAGGAGGTCGGCGTGTCGTTGTCACCGTCTAATAACAAGAGACGCCTTCATGAATGGAAATATAGAGCCTTTAGAACAAAGTGCAAACCACTGGTTACACTCCAGAAGTTTTGATCCCTCATAACGAGGGCTGTCTTAATCAGCAGAAAATGCTGTAAAACGTATTAAAACACATTTAACAGTCCAAAAATGTAAACCCTCCTTTACATTTTATAAACTGATCCAGTGAGCACACTGGAATCTTTGGCCGATTCTGGCCCCACAAACCTTATGTTTCACACCTCTGGATTAGACTTTGGAGAAAAGAGCTAAAAAAAATCTGGATGGGTCTGAAAAAATAGCATGATAAGAAGAGAACAGTATGCAGAAGAAGAGAAACAGGTCATGATCTGAAGCACATGTTATCTATCAAACATGGTGGAGACTATGTTGTGGCATGGATATGTATAGCTACAGCGACCGGAGCTGGGTCACCTCTGTTTATTTGTGATATCACTGCTGATAGAAGTCGCAGGATGTAATCTGAAGTGTACACGACTATATTCTGTGCTCAGCGAGTCACAGTACGCATGGTTAATGATCCAAAGGAAACTGGAAAAGCAACCCAAGAGCTTCTCAAGGTGTATGTTCCTGCATTTTTCTATTAAAATTATTTTATTTTAGATTAATGCATGATCTGTTGGCATATGACTGTTCTATTACATTTTAGTATAGTTTTATATCATATGGACAGTCGCAGTTATATTCTACACGAGTAAAAATAGGCTCAAACATACACCCTGAGTCATAAAATCCTGTCTTATTTTTAATGGGTGGTCTTATTCAAAACAAAGTAAGTAAACAAGGAATATTGCAGAAGTTCCCACAGAGACAGACTTTAACATCAAAGTCAGACCTGAGACAGGAGACACTGGGACAGCCTAAATCTCCAGGCAGGTTATCCAGCATGCTTGGTACATCCGACCTTTCAAGTACCCAAAAGCTGCGCACGGAGTGCTGGCCAGTTTGTCTTATGACCCTGAGGCTCGTCTCCCCGGCCCCTACGCTGACCCCGGGTGCTGACAAGCCACACCTCCTCCTCCTCTGCTGTCTGTCATCTTGCAGATAACTCTCCCTGCCTCAGTGTCATGTCCACCTGGCACCTTGTAAAAATGGGACATGATAGCGAAAAAGGTCAGAACACGGTGAAGAGGCCCCCGTGTAGAGCTGTCTGTTGAGCACAAACTACGGCTCTAGATAATAGCATTTCTAGGGACTGTGTGGAGGCAGCGTTACACTTGTTTATGGAGGAAGAGGGTCTCTCGGTCGACATGCAGTGTCTTACATTTTTGTGTGGCTCCTCCACAAAAATGTCCAAGTGCTTTCATTTCTTAGGCCTTAATAGCTCATTAGGATTTGTAATGCAGGTCAGTAATTGTTTGGCTGACATTTCCAGAGCACAACTCTCTAAACTGTGGGTAAAAATCAAACTAACTATGGTTTGTAGGTGACTGATGATTATACAAAGATATCAAACCTGAGAATGTTCGAAGCAACATACAGGCAGGCTAAAGTTATTTGGAAACAAATGCTGTGGATATATTCTGCTCTTTAACCACAAACCAAAGGTATGTTGGTAATATTTGGTTTGAGTGCCGGCTGGATTGGATTTATATAGCGCTTTTCAAGGCACCCAAAGCGCTTTACAATGCCACTCTCACATTCACACACTGGTGGAGGCAGCTACGGTTGTAGCCACAGCTGCCCTGGGGCAGACTGACAGAAGCGAGGCTGCCATATCGCGCCATCGGCCCCTCTGGCCAACACCAGTAGGCTGTAGGGTAAAGTGTCTTGCCCAAGGACACAACGACCAGGACAGAGAGCCCGGGGATCGAACCGGCGACCTTGCGGTTACAGATACGCTTCCCAACCCCCTGAATATCAAGATTTTCTGGATGCAAAAGTCATCCAGCTGCGGAAGAAACTGAAAAGAGACGGATTTTTAGGAGAACGAACCAAATCAGAAGACCTCTCAACAACTGTTGGAGTAGCTCTCAGATTAGCTCTGTCGAAACTGTTAAAGAAGTCTTAAAAGTAAAAATGTCTAACTTTTTCAAACTGGAAACAGTAGTTCCTTTCAACAGACTTCAGGTTTAGGTGACCATGATAGATATTTAAAGGATTATGTTACGAAAGAGTAACGTCCTGCATACAAGATTCAAGATACCCACATATTTGTGACCCTGTAGTGTGTATAGTCAAAAGGCTTGTCTGATTTTCACTCCCCTTTGCTCACTACTTGCTTCTATTTTGCAGATTTTGCAGGTAACCCTGATTCTTTAATAGGTCAGTTCATCAAGTTAAAATATAATATGATATACACTTCTCAAAGACATTAAAGGATAACTTTAATCACACATCAGATCTATTTTCTCCTGCTTATCTAGATTTGGACTGTGGGGACAGCAGCAGATACATCCTGGCTCTGCCGGAGGTTTCTTCCTGTTAAAAGGGAGTTTTTCCTTCCCACTGTCACCAAAGTGCTTGCTCATAGGGGGTCATATGATTGTTGGGTTTTTCTCTGTATGTATTATTGTACGAGCTACTGTACAATATAAAGCGCCTTGAGGTGACTGCTGTTGTGATTTGGCGCTATATAAATAAAATTGAATTGAATTGAAAAACCTTATCTAGGATGTTTCCATGAGGCATCCTTGGTCAGATCCCTGAACCATCTCAACTGGCTCCTTTCAATGTGGAAGAGCAGTGACTCTGCACTGAGCCCCTCCTGAATGACTGAACTCATCTTATCTCTAAGCGAGAGGCCAGCCCAGCCCAGGAAACTTCCTTCAGAGGAAAGTCATTTCCGCTGCTTGCATACTCAGTCTCATTCTTTTTCAGTGACTACCCAAACCTTGTGGAGATAAGTAAAGGTAGATTGACTGGTAAAAGTCCACAGCTTTTCTTTTACACTCAGTTCTTTACCACAACAGGGTAACTGCAGATGCTGCACTAATCTGTAAATCTCCTGCCCTCTTTTCTCAGTAGTGAACAAGACCCCGAGATACTTAAAATACTTCACTTTGGGCAGCAACTTACCCTAAATGAGCACTCCACCCTTTTCCGGCTGAGGACCATGGCTTCAGACTGGTACTGATTTTTATCTCAGCTGCAAACTGCCCTAAAGCCTGTTGGAAGTCATCTGCCTGAGGAGGCCAGAAGAACCACATCGTCTGTGAAGAGCAGAGCTGGGATTCTGAGGCCAGCAAACTGGAAATCCTCTGCCACTTGGCTTCGTCTAGACATTTTACCCATTAAAGTTATCAACAGAATCAGTGTTGACCAAAGCACTTTTTCCTTGACCTTACCTGTCAGCTGCCTCTAGAGTCCCACAAGCTAACTATGCCTAATAGGACTCCATGAGCTTCACAGCCCCCCTCCCCCTCTGGTGTCCATGATCTGGTTTGGGGTTAGCACTGCGACAGGCACCAAGCGCCTTGAAGCCACAGCTCCAGACTTTGTGGTATACTGCAAAGTGTATTAAATTAAACACTTGACCTTTCTAGTTTAGAATAAAGATGCTAGTTATTTATATTTAGAAAAGAACAAATGTTTTACTCACCTCTAGTAAAAGGACTTTGCATAACAATTTTAAATACTGTTTATAAAAACAGTATAATAAGCTTTCTACACTTAGCATCTGTGTGTATAAATCCAAACACAATCAAGAAGCTGGTTAGAAAATGACTTCTTTATTTAACATGACCGTATCAGCATATCAGCCCACACACATAGCATCAGACTCAAGTCACAGTCACTCACTTTCAGTATATACAGATAGGCACATTCACATTAGGCATTAAAGCCAGCCACAGCATCTTAGGTAGGTCCAAACCTGTGGCATATTTGGCTGCTGCCTATGAGTCAGCCATCTTAATTGGGGTCCTCTGATCCAAGGTCTGTTTCAAACTTTCACAGACGAAATTAATGTTCTAAGCACACTGATCTGGAGTCAGAAATTGTGACCAGTGTTCTCCATCCAAATACAAACGGTTCTTCCTGAAATGTCATGCTGCAGTTTCAGCCCAATAAATGCAAACAGTTGTACAAATGAACAGGAACACCTGCTCTTTTGGGAAAATAAAACTCTGGAAGTGTATTCCCTGACTTTGTTCACCAGTTAAATCCTCTTCAGTCAGGTGGGTGTGATGTGGATTGTGCACGAGGACAAGTTTTAGGTTAGCGATATATTTGAGATGTTGATTGCATTCATGGAAACGTCAAACTCAGCATTAAAAGGACATTCCTTATATTTTGAGGAATGGCTGTGGAAGCTTTTACACGATCTCATTTTCAACTCCAAATCTTATATTACCTGGAATTTTAAATGTAATTTTTACTTGATGAAATTTAATCAAACTTTAAATCGTAAAAAGGGAGAACAAGTTTTTAAAAAAAAAAAAGAAAAAAAAAAGTGTAACTTAAAAAACAAGTTCAGTTCACCAAAGAAAAAAATTAACCAATTACGTGTCATGAAGCAAGCTTTTGCATTGCAGTGTTACCGCTCTACAAAAGCAAATAACAGGACACTTAACACATGCTCAGTACTTAAACTAAGTTAAATTGAAAGTAAACTACAAATACAAACACAGGGGCAAACTGTGGGTTGTTAAACTTTGTATAATCCACGGCCTTCATCATTCATCAGAATTCTTTTAACGGGCGAGAAGGAGCAGGGAGGGTGCAGCAAATTTTCAATGAACGGTAAGAGGAGGAAATGATCCCCACTTAAAAACAAGAAAATCAAACCCATGTGTAAAGAGGATACAGTCAAACTAATAAAATGAGAAATAAATAATCAGCTGTATTTAAAAAAAACAAAAACAGAACAAGGCTTCTCAGGAGGCGGGTTTTCAAATTCGTTTACTTTATCCCAAACTACAGTGTTCCTCTGTGTCGTCTCCATCTCAAACAAGCGCCTCGCCTTTGAGATATTTACACGTCAAAGCAACCCAATTTGGGCTTAGTAAGCATGTAATGCTACATTGCATGAATGGAGGTTTCCCTAATGTCCAATAAAGAAACGCAGCATGTTGGCAGGGAGCCTTTCCACCGCACCGCAGTGAGTCAGACCCTTTCCTGTCCTGGGATCAGTCCTGACTCCTTTCCCTTGTGAGCTGAAGTCCCCCTGTGGTGCAGCGGTTTTAGCCTGAGAGCAGTACTGACAAAGGAAGAGCAGCGTGTGGGTTCATGGGAGAATGAAAGCGGCCCATAATGAACATGTGGGATACAACAGGTCGCAGTTAATGGGACAAAAAGGGTGCTGATCTTGTGCTGCATTCTCACATATACTGGAAATTCTAAAATTCCACTTTAATGCAGGGAAAATTTCTCACACCTAAAGTTTGACATCATTGGTGGCACACATTTACAATACCGACAAAAACAAATTAAAAACAAACAAAAACGCACTCAAACACATCTGCCCTGTCAAAGGTTAAGTCTGACCAGAGCTGGAAAGCAGGAAAGTGATTCTTGTGTGATGCCAACTTAAATACAAGAAAGGAAACTGACACAGAAGTGCAGTCAGACACTAATTAGTCAATGTTCATTTTCAGAATGAATCGAGAGACATTTGCTCCAACTTCCAATTTTTACCCGGTGTTTGTGTTTTGCACAAAATCTCAAGGTTGTTGACGATTCTGTGTCTTCTTGTTTTACAACTTGTGTGTGTAAACAGCTCGAGCAGCAGTGGGGATAAACGTCAGCGCTCTCCACCCAACTGCTGCCATTAGCGATGTGACTGAATGAGTGAAAATGTCACAAGGCTAAAAGCAGTCTGACTGCACTTTAACACCAAATTTCTACTTAAGCATGAATCTCAGGTCTAAACCAAATGTTACTTGAACACAAAAATGACACCCTTCACTGAAAAGATGTCTGCGGTCAAAGCTGCGATCTTTCTGTCAGACATGGACATGCTAAACTGGAACCAGGAGTGTTTATTGTTTGTTTGTTTTAAAGCTGAACTGCCAATTGCTTCAACGATGGGATTCTGAACAGCACAGCTGGGGAGCACTTCTTCCTGCTGTCTTCCCATTCTGGGTGGTAATTTTGGTTTCAACTGTGTCCCTTTGCCTCTGTGATGCTTGGTACTGCCCTGTGGTCTCCCAGTGGCTGCTATAACTTCTTAAAAAGTGGGATTCTGTCGAATCTTTAATGTTTTTACGCTGCTTGAGCATAATGGACACACTCAGACTCCATGGAAATGCACAACAGAAAATTCTGTCATGAAAATATAACTGTCAATACACGTTTTCTACCTGATTTAATTGTGACAGTAAGCTCTTCATCCCCTCTCATCCTCATATTTATCGGAGTTCATCTCTATGCCTGTCCTCTTCAAGCTTCCTCTCTGAGGCAGAAGTAAAAGTTTGGGCTGCTTGTTGACCACTACTTTTAATCAGCCTCTGCTTTTTCTGTTGTAAATGTTCCTCACCTGGAGGAAATAGCAAGTCAGTGAAGAGGGAAACGAGGACTACAAGATAAGACAGGCGAAGAGGACATTCTACTATATACCCTACGTGTCCCCCTCCTCTCCTGTCTTTGCAGACTCTACGAACAGAAGTCCAAGCAACTGCTACTCCCCTCCAACTGTTTCACCCCCACCCTCTTCCTCCGTGTTTTCTTCCGTGTTTTCCTCCAGAAGTTGTTTGTCTGAGTAAATGTCCCTGACGAGGAGGATTCTGATGAGGAGGCTCTCCAGGATTCGGCGGTCCAGCGGTGTGGAGCTGAACCACAGCGGGTCATCTGGGCTGCAGTCCGGATCCGGCTGAACATAAAACACATCTAGGCTTTTCTGCAACGGGAGAGGACTGCAGGGAGGTAGGTAAGGAGGAGGGGGAAAAAAAGAAAAGTATTAGAAACAAGCAAAAAGGAGGTATTGTAGAAAAAGGGAGAAAAGTGCAGGGAAAAGAGCACAGGGGAGGGAGAAAATGAATGCATGTATTGGTTTCAGTTTCCTTTTGAACAGTTAGGAGAAAATTTTGATGACATTAATTTATAGCAAGTCCTCATCTTTAAAGAGTCAACACTGAAGTTCAGGATGTGAACAGCAATGAGTTCTAATCACAGGACTCAAGCCTTTACTTTACAGCCACTCTTAAGATTTATTCCAGTAAAAACACTGAACCCACCACTTGGATCTGTAGAGTTCATAGAGGTGACACTCGTGCTTCTTAGCCGGGCAGCGTTGGGCGGAGCCGCCAGAGTTGCTGTCGCGTTCCTCCTGCTCGTCGTCCTCCTCGACCCTTCGTTTTCTCTTCCTCGACTCTGTTTGCACTGATCGTCCAACAGACAGAAAGGAAATTTTTGTAAAATTTTCTCAAGGTTCTGTGTCTAAAACTAACATATGCAGAAACCACTAACACTTGTTTTGAACTGTAGATGATGGAAAATCAAGTTGAAAGACACAAACAGAGGTCCACGGGCATTTATGGTTTTGAATTGTTTGGCTCTGAATGTTAACAAACTGGATATGAAATCAGAAATGTTTCAGCATCTAATGTGGACATAAAAACTATGAATCACTGAATGCTAAATTATACATCTTGCGATAATGTGCATGTGTGAATTTCACAAACAGGAAGTTATATCGTCCATCATAGCTAGATGAGAATTTCTATGGCCAATATATACGAAGCATATCAACATGATGCATTTTCCAGCCTCACCATGGTGATCCTGAGAGACGGAAGGCACGCGGATGCAGATTGTGGTCTCCTTGGTAACAGGATGGAGTGTGTCTGGGCCGTAGACGTTAGAGAAGGAGAGGCGCAGGTGCTGCTCCACGGTGCGCAGGCCAAAGTATTTGGTGTTCAGGTAAACGAGCGAGCGCAGCAGAGCGGCGGGACTCTGCTCCCCAAGATGACGACTGCTCCACAAGCTCTGCTCCTCCACTCGACCCCACAGCGAGCCTAAAGAGAGACGATCCAATTCCACAGTCAACATCTACAACACTCATCAGTTCTTTCTTGTCTTTAGCCACCATTTACATCTGCCAAATATAATTTTCTACCTGGGTACTACTTGTGCAGACATGGAACCTGTTCGTGTTGGAGCGGTGTCCTCATATTATATCATAGTGCAATCACAACGTGTCAGGATGTGAACAGCAGAAGAGTTATAATCACTGGACACGGCTCAGAATATCGAGAAACACAACAGGTTGTTTAACAGCACCGTGCCACTAGCTGGTGATGACAAGAATATATTCAAACACACTTTCCAGTGTCATCGTTATCAGTGTGGGATGAGTTTCTTAGCAAGTATCATAGCTTCCACATTCCACACTGCAATGAGATACTGTCTCACATCTGAGACGATCTGTTTTTGCCTTTTTCATCCACATTGTTGCTGCTGAAAAATGAGGAATTTAGGACATGAGTTTATGTCAAAATACAGTATGTAAAGTCACCTGAAAAACTAAGACCATCTTGCTGTGAAAGTGGCAAAATTAATGAGCTTTCTGACCATGGTCATGTCCATGAAAGAGTTATAGAAACTTCATGAATACATAAAGAATGAGAAAGACTGCATGATGAGGATAAAGTTGGGATTTGCAGTCTTTATTCAATACTCAAATCTGTACAGTTTCATGATAAAGCAATATCGTGTTAATCAAATTGTTTCCAGAAAGAAATATTAAAATCTGACAAAGTACTCAAAACTGTGCCAATTCCAAGTGGAGCAGGCACACAAGGAGGGTCTTACTAAGGATTACACTCACCATCAGGAAGTACACTGGGCTGCCAGTCCTTCAGGACCTTGTTAAGCTCCTCTCCAAACTGCTGGTAGCATGGATCACTGAACAGGTCATCCTTCCGGCCTTTGGAGTGAAGATGCTTTAAACAAAAAACAAAACAAAACTATCAGTTTAAAAAAAAAAAATGAAGAAAATGAAAGGATCACAGAGCTTCAGTCTGTGGTTGCTCACATAGTTTAAAACCGTGTCCTCATATTCAAAAGCTCATCACTGCTTTTCAGGATGTGAACAGCAAATGGTTATAATCAATGGACACACTAATCTATAAAGTCAGACTGAGGGAAAGGAAAAGGAATAATATAATAAATATAAAAAAAACGAAAGAAAATGACCGCAAAGATGTAGTGAGCACAGAAAATCCTTAAATTCCCTTTTTGAACAGTGACGATTTTAAAGGAGGGAGGAACATCGACAAAGAAGAGGCCTGGAAAGAGGGGCAGACATTTTCAACCATTTGAAGCCAAATATCCCAACACAACGATAAGTAACCCGATTAATCAGTTTCCACAAACAGATAAAGTCAGCCTTACACTTCTGTGGCAGAAAAATCACACTCCAGAGCTCTCTGAATGACCCCGCTCTCCACGCAGCAGCCATGCTCGATGACTACTCGCATGTGAGAGGAGGGGGGAAAAGAATGTGCACCAGTACTAAGGGTCCTACTGGAAACCCTCACTCGAAATTTAGTTCCTACCTCTAAAATTACTACAGATGGAATGACACTAGAATTTAAAAAGGTTAATAAGCAGATTCTTATTTTGTGTATATAATTTAAGTATTTAGATTTTTTTTTTTTACCTGCTTTTGAATTCTGTTTGGCCACATTTTTTTTATGAAATGTGGTAATGACAGACAAGTTAAAACTATTACTGTGACAAACCTACTGCTAACATCTACAAGACATGAACATTTTAAAAAAATTAAAATAAAATGCTCAGTTGAATTTTACAGTTGATGATTTGCTGCCTTCTCGAGAGGGGCAGCCGTTTCATACTAACCTGCTGGATCCCCAAACAGAGGTAGAGGATGCTGTCTGGAGAGTAGCGCTCCCCACTGGGCCTGCAGACCTCCCTGACAAAACGGGACAGAGCCACGTTCAGCTCCTCTGAACTCACTGACAAGAGGTTCCTTTTTGGCCGGGCTGCAGGAGACAGGAACAATCACCAACTGATGTTAGCAAACATGCAGTGTTTTTTTATGTTTCCCAACAGGACAATCAATTTTTCTTTTCCAGCAAAGGAATGCACCTGGACTCTCTTAGTGTAACTACTGAACAGGGCAGGTGGGAAATGAAGGGGTTCAGTGTACCTGCTTTGGAGCTTTCCTGTGCTTTGGTGTCATCCGACTGATCAGGAGGAGACAGTGCCCAGCGTTTCCAGGCATTGATACCGTAGCGAGCTTTGAGAGGCAGTGATCGTCCTTCTGAGGTTCTGTTTGTTACATTTGAAGAAGAGGACGACGCTACATCTGGCTTCTCCTCCACTGCCAGCTTCTTGTTCCCCTTCAAGGCAAACAAATCCATTACTAACACAATCAAACTAAGTTTGCCATTGAAAATATTCTGGCACACACGTGTTATTACTTTTCTCCTGGATTGCGGTCGAGGTGCTGACTCCTTCGGTTCCTCCTTCGGTTCCTCCTTTGGTTCTTCCTTCGGTTCTTCCTTCGGTTCTTCCTTCAGTTCCTCCTTTGGTTCTTCCTTCAGTTCCTCCTTCTCTTCTGCCAGAACTGGAGGTAAAGCAAAGCCCATATCCTCATCATTTCCCTCTGGAACAGGAGCGGGGTCTGAGGTTGAGAGAGGAAATAACACGCCTTCATGTAATATGGTTTAAAAAAAAAAAAAAAAAAAAAAAAAAAAAAAAAAAAAAAAAAAAAAAAAAACCAATAAACAAAACTAAAGCTGGAAAACGTGGAATTCACCCAATACGCAGGTTTACATAAATCGGACAGATTCATCGATCCAAACTGTGTCCAGAAAATGGTGTAACGACTTATTAACACTCTTTAAAATCCTTACATTAAAACCATCGATGTCAATGAGGCACAGAAAAAGGAAGAAAGAAGGAAAATAAAACTTGGATTGCAGGGCCAGTTGATGACTTCATACTCCTTTGAACAGTAAGCCAAAGCTTAAAACCTCTACACCGATAGGTGTGATGACAGCAGCTCCAGAAATAACCAGAGGGAAGAATTTTAATCTCAATTACTCTACTGATCCATTAAAAACCCCATGCAGTCAGATGTTGTTACATAAGACAAGAAATAAAATGGGAAGATGAACACAGAGGACGAGTGAGCAGGTCAGAGTGGGCAACAAAGGCACAGTATTAAATATACGAAGTCTTAAAATCGGTAATCTGAACACCTGAAATAAGGTTTATTAGAGGACTAGAGGTGGATCTTAACAATCGATCTAATAAAAATAGTTTGCTCAAGCTATGAACAGCCATTATTAGAAATTATCCTTAGGAACTGTATGATTTTATTTTTTTTGGGGATCAGTAATTCTTAGCAAGCGATGAAAACTGCAAAAAAACTGCAGCTATAGTTAATGCACAAAATACTATAAAACTGCTTTTAAAACAGCTTGCTCCTGACTCTGTGCCTCTTATCCAGTATTCTCAGGTTTACAGCTACATGCTCAGAAGACGTTTACCTTGAGGAAAGTCTGCCTCCAAGTCCAGGTCGGGCTCATACTTCTCCTCCTCTTCTTCCTCAGAGCTGCTGCTGGTGCTGCTGGAAGACTCCTGGCCTTCAGGCTCCCTCTTCACCTTCACAGGTTTTACATCTGAATCATAAAGAAGGGTAGATCCTCACTGTCATGGTTTGCTGCAGCTTTCTTCCACTTCTCTCTTTTTATCAGCATATATAAAGAAACCGTCAGAAGCTAGTATAAGGGCTGTGTTCGGCACCTCTCTGATAAGCAATCTTTTAACCCGTATATTCAATCCTGGCGTGGGCTCACCTGGCTTCCGATCCTCTGTTATCACCTCAGCCATGGTGATCAGGTCGTCCTCCAGAGGATCAGAGGGCACCTTGGTTTTCAGTTCGTTGATGGTCTGGACGATCTCTTCTGCCCCCTGCAGGGTAGTGGGCAAGAACACAGGCACAGGAACCTGGAGGGGACAGGGTATCAAATTAATTAGTAATCAGATCACCGACTTGCAAGTTTATCTTTATAGCTTGCGCAAATTTGTGTTTAATTATTTTTTTCCTTCTAAAATTTAATAAGTTTAATTTTAAGCAAGGATAAATCAAATGCAGTATGCTCAAGTCTTACCGGTACAGGCAGAGAGAGAGGAGTGGGAGTGACCTGTGAATACATATTCATAGGCATGGGAATGAACACGGGCACAGGTATAGGTACAGGCACGTACTCCCTCTTCACACCATCATCTACATCTGTGGGAACACACACGTCAAATCATTATGTAAGCCGGGTGTTTCAAACATATGGCTTGTGGACCAGAGCTGGGCACCCAGAGGGTCTAATCTTCAACCAGTGATTCCTCTCAGCCTCCAAGCAGACACACCAATTTCCAAAATCCTAAATCACCTTGTTCTCAAGTTATTGCATTCACAAGATTTAAAAACAAAACCACAAAACAACTTGCTCTGTCTGACCTTAAGGTCAAGGACACCGGCATTCACACTAATCGGATTTTTTTAGTAGATGCAGCAGTGTTATCAACCTGAACATCCTACGTCACCACGTTTTTCAATTATCACATTTACAAACTTGGGTGTCTGCGCCACCCACCATCCTGGTGGCGTGACTACAAAATCCCATCAGCCTTTTATGACGGAGGGGTAAAAATTATTGGAAGACAAAATTCAATTGAATCCAATGTTTTTATTATCAGCCTGAGATCAAACTGGACTGTATAAGATCTTAGAACTAAAATGAGCTATACATATCTGCCATAAGCAAACTCGTACAGCGTACCTCTGAAGTTGCGTTTCACAGTTCACGTCCTCGGTCGTTCACGTATTTTCCTTAAAATCTAACAAATATTTGTTCCACCACAATTTTGCATAAAGCACAAATATCCTCCAATTGTTTCAAAGAGGAAACCACGGCTTGGGATGGCAAAATATCCCTGTACCGAGAGGTAGGAGGTTTGAAAGTAGCCAATCCAAGAACATTATTCGTCTCTCCTTTCTGCATTCCCGGCATGCTTTGCTGAGTGTTCTTGTCTCTCCTGTTTTGTTCTTCTTAAAGCCCTAAGGGTGCCACCCAAATGCATATTTATTATATTATAACAACAGGCATTTATATTCATTTTTTGAATGCTCTAGAATCGTAAACCCTGCAAATTTCATGGGGTCGACTGTATTAATGGGACACAAAGAAATGATTTTAAAATTATGAGTGCCAGGAATTTGTTAACGATTGTGTTTTTACCTGTCTGTAAGAGTTTGCTCTGCATGTGTGGCTTGCAGTAGGTAGCCTTGGTCAGTGTGAGTGGTTTGCAGAGCACCGCCTTGTTCTTTACATCTCTCACCAAACCTCCGCCAGTGTATGCCGCAGTGCTCTGGTTTACCAGCTGCAACATAGAAGACAAAATAAATCAACAGAAGAATAATTGATTTTAGATGAACTAATAAGATCTGTGTTTTTCCAGGAAGTAAATCAGTTCCACAGGCTACATTTCAAAACTATTAGGTAGTAAATACATGAGCCAGAACATTAATAACGTAGCTGCTCATCAAGCTTACAATTCATCCCATTTCGCAGGTTATTGCCCATAAAGCAGCAAACATGAGCTTGACCACAGTTTGGGTTAAGACCTAATAGGTGGTCAGTGAGTATAGGTTTGATTAAACTTTGACCAATACCCTAGGAGGAGTATCAGTTGTCGTGGACAGATGGATATCTCGCCATGACAAAAACTCACGGGTCCTTTTGGCTACATGAGCTAAAAACGCTTTCAAAAGGCAACTAGTGCTACATGATTTAAAAACAAGTGCTTTGATCAAGTCACCTTTTAAATATTCTTACTTACCCCAAGTTTGGCCCCTGGCACATCAATCCCTGTAAGACAGAAATGGAATATATGTCAACTAACATTCACATATAAGCATGACTTTATTTCCATTTTTTGGCACTGGATAACATTTCCTGATACTTGACAAAACCCAACTTCTGTTACAAGGATGTAGATATGTCCAAGAGCGACACTTTGAAGCAAAAACCTGGTTCTTTCAGGGACACAAAGAGACACACACACACACAGTTTTTACCTAGGGTCGTATTCTCAGGGCCCTTCTGTGTGACCATGATGGGCTCATTCTGCTGGCAGTAGAACCTTAACAGGCACTCTTGATCACAGAACTGCTTCACCTCTGACCTCCACATCACAGACTCTGTCAGGTTACCCTGCACTTTACAACAGTCACACCTCGCCGCCTAGTGGACATGACGACATAGCTCTCGTTAATGTTCTCGCACTGTTTTTCCACATAGAAAAAAAACATGTATTTCATGGAGTGCGTGTCAGCAGACCTTATAGTACCAGTCGTTGAACTTCTTGGCACACGCCTCGCTGCAGAAGTCCCGGGTCATACCTCCGAGCGGTCGGGTTACACCTCTCTTACAGAGTTGGTTGCAGTGGTTACAGCTCACACATTTCAGACCCAAACGCTTAATAAAATCCTGCTTGAATAACAACTTGCAACCTAAGGAGGGAAGAAAACAAACAAACAAAACAAACAGAAAATGAATTAAAGCTTACAAACAGGATATATATGACTTCAGATAAATGAGACAGGGTTCAAATGACAACTATGAATGTCTAAATGGCCCAACAGCCAGCATGGGATGACATCAAATTGCCAATTCTACTTCAAGCAGAGAAGAGGACAGGCGATGAGTACCTTCGCTGCAGAATGGTCTCTTGACCCCCGAGAACTTGACCATCTCATGTAGTGTCTTCTCCTCTTGGCAGTACTCGCAAAATGTCACAATACAGTGAAGCTTCTTGTAGTCTTCACAACACGTTTTGCTACAGAACTGGTAGACCTTATCCTGAAGGCACACACATTCAGAGAAACGTACTGCAGCCATTCTGTTTTAAGATACATCAAAATTACATCTTCACACAGTAGAAATGCTCCCATGGCTTCTGCACCTCTCCATCTTTTTTCACTGCACATGACATCACTCACTGTATCACAGGAGGCAGTATTAGGAACTTATCTTTCTACATCATGCTTTCTAATGCAAAATATAGACGTGAATTTGCACAAAATTTAACGTAAACCGTACATTCCTCTTGTGCAGACCTTTAAAAGAAATTGTGCAGCACAACGGGCAAAGAAAAGTTCAGTTCTCAGACAAGCTTAGCAGATTTTAAAATAGTTTACACTGCTTTAGAGTGATATTTGTAGAAAACAAGAGGCACTCCGTGTTCCATCTTTATGAACGTTGGTTCACTTCAAGGATGGTCTCACCTCCCACTCCAGTATTTCAGGCTTTAAGCTGAACACTCCTCGACAGTAGTTACATTTCAGCTTGACTGTGCTGTTTGTGGTGGACAAAGGTGCCTGTCCATTGGTGGCTGTCTGAAGAGTAGCATTCTGTTTAAAAACAAAAAGTTTTAAACATGCATGCTTTCACAAACATCCTGATGGTATATCCAAACACATCACCAGCTTCAGCTAGATCCACAAGCTCATCTCTACACGTGTTTGGTATTACAGAAAATTTTATATTATAAAAATACATGAAGTCACAGTAGTTTTTACAAAATCTGTTTCCTCGTTGATATGTAAATGAATGCAACATGAGTCTTAAAAACTAATCAGGCCATAGACGCCACAGAGGAAACCTGCAGTATTTGAGCTGCTGAGCTCAATGAAAAAATAATCTTGGTTTTATTTTCTGCAACTTTGATGATTCTCATCTCCACTGTTATGATTAAGATCCCACATGTATTCAATCTTCCTATAGATAAGTATGAACACAGGCATAAGTATCACAGGCATCAGAGCAGAATTTAATCAGGTTATTGAAATATTTACAGAATGGTATTAATATACCCGTTTACCTCATTTCAGCAGCATCCTGCTTCATCATCAAACACATAACAATAAGGGGTTTCATTCAGATACATCAAACAGCTACTGTGCCAACATGTCTTCTAAAGAGCCCAGATTTGTTTGAAATGAGTCTCACCTGGAACTTGGTTACACACTGTGAGCTGCAGAAGTTAAGGACATTTCCCTCTGGTAGCGTGGCCTGATACTGTGGTAAAGAATTCCTCTTACAGAAATGACAGGTGGGCTCTGTGCCTGCACACACAGGTGTTAGGCATTAAAACACAGAAATAAAAGCATATCTGAAACGCAGGTCTTTCTAAGTAACTCTCATACACAATTCATTTTGTTGGTAAAGTGATTCGGTTTTCTAAAAACTAATGAGCAGGTGTGGATATACTAGTTCAAAGGAGCCATTTTCTGCTTCCGGCAAACCAGTCAACCTAAATGCACTCACACAGGGAGATCATTTGATTGTGAACACAAACAATAAGCAACCCAGCACTTTTCAAACTAAATGCCTATTATGTTGCTCCCCACTTGCAGTGTTAATTATCCTAATGCCAGCTCAACATCTTATGGTACCTGTGCAGAAATATGGATCTCTAGGTTAAGTCTCTGGACTAAAAAAAGGCTGGAAGTGAAAGCTAAATTATGAGAGAGCTGTTTCAAAGTTGCTGCTTGTGTATTGTGGTTACTCACTGATGGTGGATGTTGTTGTCAGCTTGCCCTTGTTCATACAATTAACAGAGCAGTAGGAGACCATGGTGCCACCTGCCCCGACGCTATGGAGTACCTCTCCCGTCTTAATCAGTGTTTTGCAAGACAGGCAGCTCTCAAGTTTACTGTGAGCCTGAGAGAGACAGGGAAAGCACCACAACTTAACAAGACATCGCTAACTGATCATGCTAACAGATACAAAATGTGGCAACAACAAAATGTTTTGAATGTTTGTAAACCTTCTGGGAAGCTAGCATCTTAGACTTCTGATGAACGCTTTCAACAGTCCACATGTTTGTTTTGAGATCCATTTCCCACCGTTTGGCCCAGAGATTAGAACTATTACTGAAACTTGCAGTGATGACCTCAGGCTGTAAAACTACTCACTGGTTTTCTTAATAAAATGAATGTTTAACCTTTGAAAGACAAAAAGAACAATATGTTCACAAATGTTGTGAAAATGGAACTGAATACTTGAGACTATGCCATTTTCCTTGTTATTCATTTGTAAGAAAAGTTTGACACTTTATTTTTTGAAAAAACAAACAAAAACAAACATTAACACAATGGCAGAATAGTAAGGTTTGGCAGATCTCAGGGTCATTCTCATTCACTCATTTGTTGTGGATTTATCCTTCAGTGGGACACCAACACTGAACCCCTACAATGTAATCTATAGTGTAATCTGACTTGCACCTCCCTAGAACAATAACTACGCACGGCGTTGACGCAGCCTGCAACGATTGTGACTGGTTGGTTCAGTACTGTTGAGTCCTTGGGTGCTTTTCCAGCTACTTTTTTGCCACAGTTTTTGATTTTATCAATAAGAGAATATCACAATCATCTCATGCTAATCATAGCATTAATATACACTCACAAATGTCAACAAAATCAGAAACTCAGAATGAACATGAGGGAAAAAAGAAGTGAAAAAAAAACCAAAAAACTTTAGGACCAAATATGTTTGTCTCGCCCCCCCAAAAAAATGATGGAAAACAAGGAGCAAGGATCCAGGGGGGAAAGAAGACCGGGCATTTTATTTGTTTCTATTGTGTGGCACCGCATGTAAAAACACTGGGACACAATCATATGGTAATTAACACATAATGCACCAGCACAAGCATAAATAAACGTCCACCACTTACGTGGGTTAAATCATAGACTCACAAAGATTCCCCAAAGGAGTCTAAATCAGGCCTCAGGTGAGGATGCTGCCTGAGTAAAGGCATGTAGGAGGCAGGACGCACAAATCTTCTGCACTCACAGCAGCAGTACTAAGATTAACTGGACATCACACACTTTGTATTAAGGAGTTGGAAAATTAAAATCTGTTTAAATATTTGCTATATACACAGATCAGCTGGTTCAGGAATCCCCTGCATGTAGGGATGGGTTCCCACTGTTTCAATTCCTTGGAATCGTTTGCCATTTTTGCAAACTATCCCCTTATCGATTCCAGTCGCCCCAAATGACGTCACCACGTTGCGGAGCGTCTTTTACCTGGCAGGAAACATGGTACCTAAGCAGCTCAAACACTCAAAAGTTTGGTTATACTTTACGAGAACGGATGACAACAGGACAACTTGCAATACTTGCAAAGTAGATATTTCATTTAAGGGAGGAAACACTACGAATATCCAAAAGCATTTGCTCACAAAACACACGATGACCTTAAATGAATGTCGTGTTTTTAATTCCGCTCCGGGTTCGTGAATCTCAACCCAGCAGCAGCGGTAACGTTTGCACGTCCTCTCCCGTTAACTCGGCAGGTAAATAATCAACTAACAGTGTTATGTTAGCGCAATCTGCCTTATTACAAAACCTGCCATTACTGTGCATTTAGGTGACCATGATGAGAGAGACAGACAGAGTCTGGCTCACATGCTGGCAGTTCTTGCTGCAGTCTACTGGTAGCGTCTCCTTTCAGGCCAGGATAGACGAAAGTCACCGATCAGTGACTAATCACCTCAAGAATATTTCAAGGATAAAAGATCTGATGTCTCAACAGGACCTGGAAAAAACTAGTCCATGCATTAATTCAGTCCTCACTAAGACCAAAAAAGTGGACCACATCAGCTCTGAGGTCTTTACACTGGCTGCCTGTCCGTCAGAGGATAGACTTTAAAGTTCTGATGCTGGTCTATAAAGCTCTGAATGGTTTAGGACCAAAATACATCAGTGACCTCCTGACCCAGTATGAACCTTCCAGATCCCTCAGGTCATCTGGATCCGGTCTTTTATCAGTTCCCAGAGTCAGAACCAGACACGGAGAAGCTGCATTCAGCTTTTATGCTCCTTATATCTGGAACAAACTCCCAGAAAGCCTCAGATCAGCTGAAACACTCAGTTTATTTAAATCTATATCTATATCACTAAAGCACTTCTGGATGGATGCAAACTGCATTTCGTTGCCCTGTACCTGTGCATGTGCAATGACAATAAAGTTGAATTCTATTCTATTCTATTCAAATCCACACTTAAGCTTAAATTTCAAAACTTACATTTAACTACTGATTTTATCTACTATTCTGATTTTATATACTGTTTTGTTTGTTTGTTTATTAGTTAGTTTGTTTGTTTGTTTGCTTTAATCAATTTTAAATCATGCTTTTTATTTGTTTTTGTTTCTAATGTCTCTGTAAAGCACTTTGAATCACCTTGTTGTTGAATTGTGCTATACAAATAAACTTGCCTTGCCTAAGTTTGTGGTAAAAGGCTTGAACCCATTTGCCACAGCAGATGATTTTCAGTAAGTGAATGTGTTTAATTGTAGGCAGGGACATTACTGGATATTCTTGTGTCATTGCTATAGAATATTTTATATTACACTTTGTTATTGCTACAGAAGAATATTGATTTTATTATTTTACATTTACAATTTTTTTTCCTGGGGACCCTGTGACACCCCATTGAAGAGCCGTAGGCTGGATCTCTTAAGATCTCACTGCTGGGTTTGTAAGGCCATGTTACTCCTAAATTTCTATCTTGTTCAAAGAGAAGATAAAACAAAGTTCTAAGCTATTCGACCTTAGTGTTCTCTTTTTTAAAAAAAAGAATCGATAAAGAATCGAATCGTTAAACAGAATCGAAAATGGAATCGGAATCGTGAAAATCGTATCAATACCCATCCCTACCTGCATGTGTAAACAAAGCTTTAGTGGATTATATTCCACAGTTTCAAAGAACTGAAAATATGGACTTCAATTCTTACTCTAAAACAGACTTCTTAGTTGCATAAGAAAATTCACAATCTGTCTGATAAAGAAACAGTACAGCCCAGAATTGGACACACAGGCCTGTTATCTGCATGCTTTCTAACACTGACAGTGTCCAAGTGGTTTCCTGCAATTACTAGAGGAACGTCCAATAGGTTGCCGTTGCCAAGCAACAAATTAAATTTCAACCTGCAATTTTTCACAAACATTTCTCTCCAACATAATTCAGCTGTACAATGTTCAGGAAAAATGTATTAATAATTTTGAAAGCTTGAGGGGAAAAAAACAGAGGTGGGCCGAGCACTGGCATGCTCTGCTTGGATACTAACATACAACACAACTGCAAGAAGGACAGACCTACATCTCTGACCTGCCATTTGGTTAAATGACAGGCAAACAATGACAGCAGTTCCTGAATTTTCTAACTCTACAAAACAACACAATAAAGACAGAAACTCAAAAAATATCCTCCTAAGTATGTAAAATAAATATAGTAGAACTTTTGAAATGTACTCTAGAAATAATTGTGACATGACTTCATAAAATTCAGAAATCTCTAAAAGGGCTGGTGGTGTAAGACAAACTAAAAGCACCAGCGTTGCTTCTGTCTGCACTCCTCCTTCAAGCCATATGTGAAACATTTGATCATTCAAGCAGCCATTTTGCTTTCTGTACAAAATTTGTAGGACTGACTCACTCCAGCTTTCATTCATTTTGTGCCTCACTTGAATATGTATTGCTGACAGCACAGCAGTGTTACTTAAATACCAACTTCTTCTTTAAAAAAGGTGGATGAGTAATGCAGGATTTATACTTTTACATGGAATCTGCGACAGATGTACGTCATGACTGAAAA